TTTTTACTCATTTTATTATTATTATTTTATTAGGTTAATTTTTATTTTATAGAAAAAGTATGAGCAATAAATTTGATTAGTAATAAATAAAATTTTTAGACGAAAAAAAACTGAGCATTTAAATTTTTTTTTCACGGAATATACGGGACAGCAAAAACACGACACAAAAATAAACATGTGAATACCATACAACACTCTTAGTTAAACAGGTATATTATAATTGATTAGGCTCAACACGAACCAAAAATAACACGACACAACATGTTCCTACCCGATGCGATTGTCGATCTCCTCGTTAAGCTACCAACAGGTTTGAGTTTTAAAGGCTGGTTGGGCCTCATTGAATTCATTTGGGCAGTGTGCCCCATCAACCACTCTAAAAAATAGTTGTTGACTCAACCACTCTCCAAAAAACCAAAAAGCCCAGAACCTTCTCGAAGCCATATCAAGTTCGGTGGGAGCTTGGGAAAAAAAACCAAAACACTGTGTACCAAACCAAACCTTCTTCATCAAGACATCGGAAACTTCAATTCCGATACCTAAACCGAATCGACAACCAAACAAATTACAAGTACTCTCCGAAAATCTATATATATATATATATATACACGTATAGCGGGAGAAAGACAGAGAGATTGAGATTTGAGAAGTTTTAAAGAGAGAGGGAGAGATGGATTTTGAGCTAAGAAGAGCGAGAGAGAAGCTAGAGAGAGAACAGAAGGAGAAGAAAGAGAGGGCCAGGTTGAAATCGGAAAGAGAGAAGAAGGCCAAACAAGAGGCTGCTCGTCAACGAGAGGCCATTGAAGCCGTACAGAGGGCTCGAAGGCTCGATGCCGCCGAAGCCGAACTTAAGGTCATTTTTTTCCCAACGATTCTGTTTTAATTAACTTTTTTGATCAATTCTGGATTAACTTGTTTTTGTCAATTAGGGCTTATGCACTGATGATTTGTTTCTGATATGGAAGAATTTGTTTCTTTTGATTAAATTATGCGATTTTTTTTGGTGAATCTATCTGGAATGATGTGTATTGTTGTTGTTGAATCCGTGAAATTGAACCTGTGAAATGTTTTGGGATGAAATCAAATCATTGATTGATTGCATAATTTGATAGAAATTTCTTAGTAGTGTGTAAAGGAATGTACAGGGGCAAAGCCAGTATTTAAGCATATGATTAATAGGGTTGATACTGTAATATTGGTACTTTAAGGGGTTGCTAACAAGTTCTGAAAACTCGGGATGCCATACCCCCTTTGGTCTCCATGTAGCTTTCTCCGGGAAATGTAATTAAACTGTATAAGGAATATATAAATGTTTAAGAATTTTAGTAGCCATGCATTTGATGATTTATTTCTGATATGGGATTTAAGCTTAAGCACTTGAGGATTTGTTTCTCATATGTAGATAGCTTAATAGCATATGAAATAGGAACTTGCGACATTAGTCCTAAACATCTCTTTCTGTACACTCATGGAATTGAGTTCACTTGTTGGGAAAAGAGATTAAAGTGTTCATGGATTAACCAGAAACCCACAACTTTATGGTAACCAAATAATAAACTACCACGCCAGCAAGTTGGCAACAGAGCCTATACATGCTTCATAAAGGCAAAGGCTGAAGCAGGGGATATCTTGCCCTTCTCGGTCTGCAACTGAGTCTTCTCTCCAGCCATCTTAACCTTCCACCTGTTCAGCGTGTCTCTGCCTTCATCGAATGTCATGAATGTTCTTTGTACCCCTTGTAAAATTTGAATGTGAATGAGTTTTGCAAATTTGTGCATGAAGTAGGAGGAGGAGCCAACATACTTATTTTAGAGAGAGGACAAGGATGTGATATCATATTCTTTGTGATATGACTTAAAAAATTCAATTCGTGAAATACCATGCATGTTATTATTAATCTTTATATGAAGTCTTTGACAAAAAATTCAAAAAAATGAGAGAATTTCAGAAATCAACCAAGACACTCTATGGTTTATTTCTTGCCTTAGTCAGTTTTCTATGGTCTGATCAGATGGCAGTTTAGGCTGGATTGAAGTACCCAATGAGCTTTCATTCTTTTGGCTAATGGTTTCAACCCTCAAAACCAGGAGAGGTCTTGGGATGGAAAACAAGAGTCGAATGGAAAAGATGGGGCAGTGCAGTTATGAAGGCTAGTATAGGAAATATGGGGACTTATGGCCTAAGTGAGTCTTCACCAAGCCAATATCATCTTCAAGGCTAATGGTTGGCATGGCAGTTAGTTATAGAATCACTTTAAAAACATATCTATGGTTAACCCGAAATCAATTTAATCCGTTGGGAAAAACTTTTTGTAATGTCCACAAGAAAAGCTTGTTCTGTAGTATGAAATGCTTCACTGGGTCAGTAGAAAATGCGATGCATGTGCATGCGACTTAAGCAATATTTCTTTGTATTCAACCTGCTATCCTGCTGTTTATGTTAGTGCAACTAGTTTCTCTCTGTTGAAGTTATCTTGATTTCCAGTGATCATAAAAACTTCTTTTTTACCCTTTTTTTGGTTCACATTTTCAATCCGTGGAACACTACCAGACCCCAAATAACCTAAAGTCTTAATTACTTGGATCGGTCTTGCTAGTTTCTAGGTGAACCTCCTTTCTGCTTTACATCTGGGATTATGTCCTTCTCTTTGTCCATTGATTTTATCGTCCTATTTCTTTCAACTACAATGAAGTCTCCTCTCTCTGCTAGGAAAGTCCATTGTTCCTGTTGCCTGAACTGCATACTATAGTGATGATTTTTGTCCTAAACAATGTTATCTCTTCTCCTTCTTGCCCTTTTCATTATTTTTTGATTGTATTTTCCATTCATGACTAAATATCAGCATTTAAAATTACTCACGAGGACTTTGAATTTTCTTTTCAGGCGAACGAACAAATGGAAGAAAACCTACTTGCTGGGAGAGGAATTGTGTTTTATTGCGTTTTAGAAGCTGTACGTTATCAGGGTATGGGAGATAAGATCAAATTACCACAATCATGCTTCACGGAGTTGTCTGAACAAGGTGCTTTTGACAAAGGACCCTTGCACTTTCAGTTGTCAGTAGTTCAGCAAGAGGCTCCTTCAGATATGAAGGCTGTTGAAGGGAAAAATTACGGGACAACACATGCTGGTGTCCTGGAATTCACTGCCGAGGAAGGTTCTGCTGGGCTTCCTCCTCATATATGGAGCAAGGTATTCCCTGTCAGTACTCCAGACACATCTTTAGTCGAAGTGCGATATGTTTGGCTGCCGAAAGGAACTTATGCAAAGCTTCAACCAGAAGAATTTGGCTTTTCAGACATACCCAATCACAAGGCTGTCCTTGAAACAAGCCTGCGCCAACATGCAACTATTTCTCAAGATGATGTGCTTACAGTCAATCACGGTGCACTGTCTTATCATTTGCGTGTTCTCGAGTTAAAACCTTCTTTGAGCGTATCTGTCCTCGAAACAGATATTGAGGTTGACATTATGGGTTCTGATTCAACTTCCGAAAAAACAAATCAGCATGTATTGACACCTCTCACGTTTGGGAAGTCAGAACCTGGAAAGGTGGAGGAGGAGAATTATATCTACTACAAGTTTTCAATAGATGATGATACCTGGAGGAAAATTTCTTCAGGAGATGCCAATATTGAGGTAAAAATAGAATCAGAGACACTTGATGGAGATATTGATTTGTATATCTCTAGGCATCCTCTTTTATTCCCAAGCAGGCACCAGCATGAATGGTCTTCTCATGATATGGGTTCAAAGACTCTGGTTCTTAGCTCTAAGGACCAGAGCTTGGGAGCAGGTACTTACAGTATTGGTTTATATGGCTTCAAAGGAACCACAAAATACCAGTTATCAGTAAATATTGAAAATAACTCCAACCGTAAGCTGGGTCAGCAAGCTGTGTCTTCCTCATCTTCTATGGAGGTGGATACTGTAGAGTGCATGAATTGCAAGCATTATATACCTTCTAGGACCATAGCTTTGCATGAGGCCTATTGTAGAAGACACAATGTCATCTGCCAGCATGCTGATTGTGGGGTTGTTCTTCGGATCGAGGAGGCCAAGAACCATGTCCACTGCGATAAATGTGGGCAAGCTTTTCAAAAAGGAGAGATTGAGAAGCACATGAAAGTGTTCCATGAGCCACTTCACTGTCCCTGTGGAAGTGTCTTTGAGAAGGAACAGATGGTAAGCACTATGCTCTCTGCACTTCTTTCTTAATTAGTTCATGTCCTTAATTTACATTGGTAATCCTGTGCTTCTGGCTGTCTGGTAACTGTTGGTCTAAGGGGCCGAGGGGGGTAAGTTCTAACCATGAATCATCAAATTCCCTAGTTTTGTTGGCCATTGCATGTTTTTTGGACGGTTATTTTGGATTCCTTTACCTTTAGAAAAAAGTCAAAAGAATATCTGTTATATATTTTGGGTGAGTTGTAGTGTGAAGTGAGTCGTGATCCTCCACAAATTTTGAATCAAAGGGGCAGAGCATTCCTCTTGCTGTCAGTTTTCATGAATTTATCTACTATTTGTTGGTAGAGCACTGGTTGGGGACCATTGCCTGGTGCAGTTCCGGCCTAATAACCATGAAATTATGAATCTAAGAGAAATCATTTTGTTCAGATGGTGCCAAATTTTAGGTCCATACTATGTATTCTTTTCCCATCACCCTTGATGAACAGAAACCCAACTGGCTAAAGACCCCCTTTATGTTACATAAAGACTTATGACGCCAAAGTTTAGGTCATACACTCTAATACCCTTTCTAGCACCTCGATTAATGGGGACCAAAGCGGCTAAAACCTTTAGATGTTAAGGACTAAGCATAGATAACCCTATCAAATTTGGCTTCAGTTCCTCTGTTGATAATTTAGATGACCGTATACTTTCAAAATTCCTGGAAAGGTTAAAAGCATTTGGATGAACTTTGGTGTTGAATGGCTTGGAAACTTTCACATTTCTAGCATTTCATTGCAGTAGAATGTTTATATGATCGTCTCATTTTTATGCTTGTCATACCTATTTCTTGGCCAGGTGCAACACCAGTCGTCAGATTGCCCCTTGCGCCTAATTACATGCCGGTTCTGTGGTGACATGGTTCAAGCTGGGACTTCTGCTGCAGATGTGCGAGACCGGTTAAGAGGCCTGACAGAGCATGAGAGTCTTTGTGGGTCCCGAACTGCCCCCTGCGATTCATGTGGCCGTTCAGTTATGTTGAAAGATATGGACATTCACCGAATTGCTGTTCATCAAAAGAACTGATCCCAGAATCACTCTTTTGGTTTGTGATTCAAAAACAGTTCTCTATTTAAATATTAAAGGGCACTGGCGGTTTTGCTGCCACTAGCACAATATCTTGCAGGCGTGTTACAAAATGTCCACGTCTGAATTGCAGAATCGAATTCGATCGCCTCGTGGAATTTGTAATAATTTATGTATTCTTACATTGGATGAGGCTGATCACTGATGCAGTATAATAGAAAATGTTGATCACGAACTGCTTCTGTACCATTGTACTGTTGTGATTTGTGTACATGATTGTGAGGCGCTGCAATGCTTGCTCCAGTAATTCCTTTTGTTTTTGCTTTTCCTAAATTTTCTTCAATGACAGGACATAAACCATTGTTTCATTTGAATTATCATAAGAGTGATTTACATTAAAAGATTATATTGAAGGAGATTTGAATCCTTTTCTTTTTTTTTTTTTTGTGGGTGGAGGATTGAAAATTTTGAATGACTCCACTGCTAGAGCCTAGAGTGTTCCTGGGGCGGAATAGAAACAAAAAAAAATGGGGTCAAGTATATTATGTCTTGAACCGACCTAAGGTGATTTTTTTTTAACAGTCACTTCTTCAATTTGATTAAAGATAGATCATCTAAATTAGGATTAAGATATTTTTGAAAGATAAATTTTAAGGAATTGTCAAATTTCGAATTCAGGACATCTGAATTTACTAATCGTCCCTGTTATTATTTGAATTATCCGATCGAAATGATATTTTTGACATATTTTCAATGCAAGTTTAAAAACTATTATTAATAGACAACAAAGTTAAAGAGAGTGATTTGGTATAATAATCCGTATCCAACTGTGATTTATTTTATTAGGAGATGCCGAACCGACATAGGATGACATCAATAGACATGTTATTGACTTTGGATGCGTTGCTTTTGATTTGAGGTGTTAGTAGATACGCTGAATGCGTCATGAACAAACATTTAATATTAAATAACTGTAATTGCCTGTCACATTATCTGATTATCTTTTTCTCGTAATTACCTAAGTGCCCATTTAATTTTACCAAATTAAAAATGTGGACACCAGGTAATAATATCATTGATATAAATCAACTTTCCCAAATATTACACCGACTTAAAAATAAGCATAATTATACTTATCGAATTGTTTATCAAATCATTGTAGATGATTAAATTAGTGGGTCCTACTCTCTCTCTCTCTCGCCAAACATTCAATACATTAGATTTTTTTTTACATCATTTAATATACAAGATTTGATAAATTTATTTGGAATGCATAAATAAAGTCAAAATGATATGACAACAGACATGATAAGTAGATCATTAATATTGAATAAATAAAAGTGAGACAGAAAACAACGTTATTGTAGTGTCACATTATTTAGCCCTTATTTTTAGTTTCTTTTTTTAGCCGGTCCAACATTATTTTTTCATGAGAAATGCTAAGAATTTTAATTTTTAGATTCAAATAACTGTGGATTTTTTGAAATAAATAAAAATTCTAATGTATGCACATCTATATTATTTTATTAGCAATACTATATGGATTTTTTTTTTCTACTGGATTTTCAGGTTTACATCAATAACTCTCTCGAATTCAAAAACTGTCCACCATGACTTGAGTTGGGATAGAGCATATCTCGAAATAGACAAGGGTGGCTAGCCCTTTAGTGTTGTGGAAAAGAATTGAACTTTAAGATCTTTGAATTATCAAAAGTCAAAATTCAACCACTGAACTACCCATAAAGATTATACTATAGTGATCTAATTCAATATAATAATTGAGAACTTAGCATCATTTGTATGCATTGAGGTATAATTTTGGGCAAGAGTTTCACAAGGAAGAAGTGGATCCTACAAAAATTTGAAAAATGCGAAATATTGTGAATTTTAAGTTTGGGATTGCAATTGAATTCAAATGAATTGGAACCTTCAAATAAGTGGGTCTCATTAAAAAATTAAAAAATAAAGAATAATCTTATTTGGATTTAAAAATTTAACCTAATTAACTGACATAATAATATGACTTCAGTGAAACCATTTGATCAACACCAAGTCCCAATATTTGATGGAGTTCACGGTGAATTCAAATATCATAATGAATTAGGTTAACAAATTAGATCTTAATAGCATTGCTCAAAAATAAAACCCATTTAATTTGAAATTTTATTTGGAGTAAATTATATATATAACCCTTAAATAATGACTCTTGTATCAATTAAGTTCTTATTTTTTTTTTATGTCAATTGAGTCATTGAACTCTATAATTATGTCAATTAGGTTATTTTGTCTGTCTCCATTAGATTTTTTTAACACAAAGTACCGAAGTGTTCCATTCAAGTGATATAAATGGTTAGAACAAACTAAACATATGACCTTTAAATTATAGTTCTTATGTTAATTAAGTTCTTGAACTCTCTAATTATTGTGTTAAATGAGTCCTTGTTTTTTTATTCATATAATCAAGTAAGTGACAACAGAAGCAGCAGGCGGAAAGGATCAATTGACATAATTAGAGAATTTAAGGGTTCAATTGATACAAAAAAAAATCTAAGGACTAAATTGATACAAAACTCATAATTTAAAGGTCATATATATAATTTACTATTTTATTTGGAATCCCTAACATAATAAAGTGGGTATGAGTGCAAGACTTAAAAAATTCTCTCGAATCATAAAAGTAGCCGTTACGCCTTAGGGAGCCCATGCCTACTTGCCGACACCTTTTTGAAAGAAACGAAAACAATTTAAAACGGCAAACCCAGGTCAAATTCAACAAAGATCAGTATCTTAGTGCTTTTTAAACTGTTTCTTTGACCCCGAATCCAATCTTTCTCATTCATCAGCCACTTACATTCTAATCTTTGTGCTTTAGTTTCTGCACCGTTTTGGATTCCGAACTCTGTTTCTTCCCCTACTGATCTATCACACTTCTCCTCTCAGATTCTCAAGAAAACGGTTTAAAAAGGGTTAGTTTCAAAAGGGTTCGATTTGTTTAACCTTGGATAGAGTTCCACTACGCTTTGAATATTTTGGGTTTGTCTCTCTCTCTCTCTCTCTCTTCATGTCTTTTGAGTATGAATATCAAAGTTCATCCGCAATTTTTATGCAGTTTTGTTGATGTTTGTTGAACTTTTGGTTTGTTTTTCTGTGTTAGATTACAAATTAATGCTTACACGAATTTGGATTTCTGGTTAATCTTGGCCCGAGTGCCCATTCTAACTCTGACAACAATTCCTTGTTTTTTAACTACATGTTTTTCTATTTGATGAAAGAGTATATATTTAACTCGAAGAGACTACAAAGACAGTGCCATTGGGTTCCTAAAAGATTGTTTGGAGTCCGAAAACATCATCGTGTTCCTATCACATGTTGTGCAGATTGGAACTTCAAATACTTCGATTGTATACATTTTGCTATAGTCGGTGTAAATATATTAGTACTTTCACGGGTTTGATTTACTTGAAGGATTTGGTTTCTTTCGTGAGGCCAATGTTCTTAGGTTATTTATATGGCAGAAAGTTATTGATCTTGAGATCAGTGGATATGGAGTGAGACATGACGTAAAACATGAAGTATATAACGTAGAAATTGAACGGGGAGGGGTGTCGTGTGTGGGATGGTGATTCTTTCCCTTGTGGTTGTAAGCTGTTGAACATTATAGACTGAGAGCCACGTAAAAGTTGGCCTAAGTTGGGGAGTTTTCAATTTTTTGTCAATTTTGCAGTGTCAGTGTTGTATTGTTTCATTGTTGCCGATTGGAGCACCTGTTATGTTTGATTGAAGGGACATTCCCTTACTCACTGGAACATTTAGAGGATGTAGCAATGTTGGTTTAGAGCATATTTCAAACTGCTGTTCAGTATTGTGTATTATACAAGGCCACCACCTTGTGAAGAAGGGTGTGTGTATGAATCAGTAATTCATAGTTAATCCGAGTAAAATTGACTCAACGCATAATTTACTGGTGTTCTTCTTTTAAAGGGAAGGACACATCTTCCTGAAGCTGATATATGGCCACTCTTACTGATATAGGGGTGGCGGCAGCTATCAATATTCTCAGTGCGTTTGCTTTCTTTGTGGCATTTGCCATTCTTCGAATTCAGCCATTAAATGATAGGGTTTACTTTCCAAAATGGTATCTAAAGGGTTTAAGAAGCAGTCCGTTGCAATCCAGTGCAGTTGTCCACAAGTTTGTCAATTTGGATTTCCGGTCATATGTGAGGTTTCTGAATTGGATGCCTGCTGCATTGCAAATGCCAGAACCTGAGCTTATTGACCATGCAGGATTGGATTCTGCTGTTTACTTGAGGATTTATCGGACAGGGTATGCTCTGGTAGAATTTTGTTCCCCTGATGGTATCCTTCTCATTATTGCTTTGATATATTCAATTTTTTGTTTGCCTCTTTAATCATTCTCTCCTGCTTTCAATAAATTTCTCTCTTATGAAACAAGTTTAATGACATTGATATAGCCTATAGTTAAAGTTAAGGTGGTTAAAGATCCATTACCGCAAGAAAAACAAAAAAAAAAACCGATTGGTGGATTGATAACAAAGGGAAGTACCAAGATGCAGGGTGCTATGACCAAGGTAGTTACCTACTTAAAATGCAAATGTTGCAGTCTGGAACTGATAAACGAGACCCATATGGAACCAGAAATAAATAATTAAGGTATGCATTAGTCTGTGGGCATAGTCGTGATTGGTTCATAAAAACTCCTCTAACACCAATTCTGCTGAAACTGGCTCATTAACGAGGTCAAGTTTTTGACATTTGCTATATCTGTCTACCAGCATGTCATTGTCAGAAAATTTTTAAGGAAAAATCTGTTGAGGTCAATAAATTCCAAAGGTCAGTACATATGTTGGATAGCATTTTCTTTTCCATTTCACTGAAACCCTGCTTAGCACCTTTACTGGATCTTCAAATTGTTATTATATTACACTCAGTTGTGAAGATTGGAGATATTCATAATAAGATAACATTGTGACAGCTAATCAGTGTTTCATTTAAATTTAGGGTGTTGGCAAGTTATAAAACACGTGCAAAACTTGAAATGTGTCCAAATTTTAGAGAAAAACTTAATACAGGTATATTTTAGAAACCTCGAAATCCACGAATAGTTAAAACTTCAGCAGAACCAATAATCCTTTACATGAATTTGGTGAATATTTCAAGGTTTTGAGGTTTGAATGTCTTGTTTAGCATCTCTACTGGCATCAAATACTGTTTAGTGTTTGGAGAATAACCATTTTGATTGAATATATATGAGTTGTTTAAGATTATTTATTGTTGCTGTTGTTGATGCTGCTGCTGCTTTTATTATTGTTATTTTAGACTGATTTTATGTCCTCATTTTTTTCCTTTCTTCCTTCCCTCAATGCAGACTTAAAATATTCGTTCCTATTGCGTTTGTTGCTTTCACAATAATGGTGCCGGTTAATTGGACCAATCGGACTTTAGTGCATTCTGATTTAACTTATAGTGATATTGACAAGCTTTCTATTTCCAATATTCCAACTGGATCACATAGGTACGTAGTAAGCCTTCTTTATGCTTGACTCTTTGTATAGAGTTATTCTTTTATTTCATTGCCTGTGTGAATCGATACTGTTAATTTTCCTTGACGTTCTTTCTACTTTTTCTTTTTCTAATCCCCATATTTTAAGTAAAACAAGTGGAATGTTGCCAATAACCATTAAATGAAAATTACATTTTTACTGCTAGTCATGTGAATGCTTTTGAATCGTGCAAAAGTTTGCAAAAGTTTCCAGTAAGCATCCATTACATGTTTATTTGATCACTGCATCTTTCTAGCATGACTGGTACTTATTTGATACTCATCTACTTCCTAGGTCCTACAATAAACTACTTTTGACATTTAGTCTATTTTGCCTCATATCCTATCCACTTCACATACTATCACAAGGCATTAAGGGTTACAGAAAATAAGGAAAAGGAGGGAAGAAAAGGCTAGAGCAACTATGTGGCACCAACCCAAGCCCATAAAATATTTCAAAGTCAATGTGGTGTCAATAAAGTACATGGGTTAAATATTAGCTGATAGAATTGCATTTAATCTCATTGTTAATTATAATGCACCTTCTGTCTGCTAAAAATAGTTCAGATACTTCCAGGGTAGTGATTTACATTTATGCTGTGTGTGAGGTTGGAAACGAAGCATAATTATTGCTTTTGGTTTTTGAGTGTTTTTTTGCTTTGTCCACAACTGCTTTTTCCATCTAACTTCGACTTCCCTTGAATGGTTTAAGTTAATATTGAGTTTGTGCACTCAATACACCATTAAGAAATAAGAAAAATGATAGAGAGACTAAACTTCACATTTCAGAACAATAGGTTATTTATGCCCAAAATTTCCGCAAAATTGCAATAACCATGGACTTTTGGATCTGACTAAATCTATTCACATGCACTTAAAAAACTATTTGGGGAAAACTCATAACGCGGATAGGATTATCCCTCGTGATTTATGCACGTGGGATCACTAGGCTCAACCTAGAGGAAGGGGTGACTAAGTTTATTAAAAATTCACGATTGAACAACAAACACCAATTTTAAACATAACCCATCACAATTACCAATTAACAAATTAATTGATCAATTAAAGAAGTTAAACCCATTTTCTGAACCAAAAACCCCGTAAGGTGAATTGATGTAAAGATTTAACAATTGATTTGATCAACACTCAAATTCAGCACGACCATGATCCCTCACCCGAAGCCAATATTCTATAAACCTCTTTTTAATGAATTTAAAAATAAGTAATCATTCATTCAAACACATGGTGCGCATGTGTGCAATTGATAGTGTATATGTAAAATAAAGCGATAAACACAAATAATTTGTTTATGCAGAAACCCACGAGGGAAAAATCGGGAAACTACTCGGGGTTTACCTAGCCTAATCCATTAAACTCAAAGTTGAATTATAAGTACTCAAGACTTAATATTTCAACTAGTATATGATTAGATACTCCTTTCTAGTGTAATTCTCTCCTTCTAGCCTAATCCACTTGAACAAATAAACCGCAGTAGACCTTTTAGGCTCTTCAAACGATCTTCTAGGATGCGCCCAAGATCCTTGGTTTGCACACTCTTCCATAATGAGTTTTGTTGATCTCCAAGCTAAATCTCCTTCAATGTGTGAGGTTGAATAGAAGATTCAAGAAGGATGGCCTTTGGAATTTAGGGATCTAAGGTGTTTCCTTAGCTCTCTAGATGTTAAAATGCTGAATATAGGCTTACCCTAGTTCAAGAAGGCTTGCAATAGAGTTTATCTTTGGGACCAAGTAAACACAAATTCATGAACCACCGCTCAAGGCATCAAAGAGCGATCAAAGGACAATTTTTACTGGAATAAAAAAGGATCCAAATTCCAAACAAAATCTGGCAAGGAGAGATTGCTCGAGCTGTCTTGGGACTACTCGAGCGGATTGAGGGCCTAACTCGCTTTTTTCGATTTTATCCTCAAGTGTTCATAGACCGCTTTAGCCAATTGCAAGCGAGCAGAGGGGGCCCTATTCCCTATTGGTTTTTAAGCTAGAAATCCAACAAAAACTTGTCCAATTGAGCACTAAAGAGTGTTGCTCAAATAGGATCCGATGAATAAGTCAATTTATGATTTCAAAACACATTTAAATTTTAGAAAAAAATCTTCAATGAAAAAACTAGGAGTCATTCTCGGGTATTCCTAATTCCAATTACCATTTCCTAAACATCCCAAGTCCATATATAAACCAAGGTTTCTAGATCTCTGGGTCACTACCTTTGTCCTAAACATTGAAGTTGCAGTGAAAATCTTCTTGATTTGTCGTTGAAGCTTGAACTCCATCCTTCCACGTCGAGCTTTAAACTTTGAAGTATCTTTGACCATGGAATTAAGATGAGATTTACAAAGACTTCACGAAATTAGTCACTTACAATAAAATTACTAACACTATCAAAAGATCGCGGGTTGAACATTAAGAAATTAGAGCACACCACTTAAGGTGCTGAGGCTAGCTGTTGGATGATTTACGATTTGTCTCCTTCCTTTATCAACTAATCAAAACTTATGTTGTTACTCTCCTTCTTCAGTTGTATCTCACCTTATTGCTCATTGGATATTTTTGTTTTTTTATATTGCAGATTCTGGACCCACTTAGTAATGGCTTATGCCTTCACATTCTGGACATGCTATGTGTTGAAAAAGGAGTACGAGACCGTTGCATCAATGAGGTTGCATTTTCTATTATCAGAACATCGACGCCCAGATCAGTTTACGGTATGATCAACTTTTTGTCTCATTAAGCTAATATTTGTATATCCATAGTTTGGTTTTTTAACTTTACTTTCGGTCAGTTCTTAATTGATTGGAATTCTAACTTGTATGAGAGAAATTAAGTTCATTCAAAGTTATAGGACTTAGTCATATCTTTTTGAAATTTATTTGCTAAAGTTGTTGACGCTTGATTTGTTTGAATCAAGACAGGTGTTGCATTGCTACCTTATCTGGTATTGATTAAATAGATATGTGCACGTGTTTAAAGGCACTATGTACTAAAACAAATCGACAATTAAAAGTTGAATATCCATTCGAGTTGGATTTTTGTATGTTTTTATTTTCGAATGAATATTAGACCAATAAATTCGGACATAATTTTCTCCAAAAACATGACAGAAAAATGTTAACATATATACAGAATTTCAACTTTTAAGGAACAATTTCTTTAAAAAAAATCAACTTCATATAATAAACCATTATCCTTAACATCCTTCAATCTTCCCACAAAATCACCTCTGCAAAAAGATTTGTCATCAAAATTAGGCTGGGAAACTCAACCAATTACATGCCACCCAAAATTAATGAAAATGCTTCGTTGTGCCCCACATTTTGAGTCTCCTGCATCCAGACCTTTTAAAAAAGCAGCACTAATCTCTGTCAATCACAATCACAGGGAAAGAGTTTGCAGAAATCAATAGAACATAGAGTTTGCATGTTACAAATAAATCAAATTCCATCATATAGAAATACTAACACTGCATTTTTTAATCCATACCACCCTTTTTAATCACCATTTTTAACGTTAGTACATTCATAGAGAAATACCAACACCGCATTTTGCTTTGCAATTTTAATCACAAACTAACAAATTACACATTACACATAAGGTAACATGCAGTAGAATGTAAAACTTAGGCTACAAATTTTATTCTCAGAAAAAATTGTAACTCCAGCAACAGCTTAAAAAAATATGTAAAAACTTAATTGCCACCACCCAAATCTTACCTCCCAAACATTACCGTAATCACCATAACAAATAAAACACCAATAATAATGCCAACGTTATAATCATGTGCAGTAAAGAATAAATAAAATATTGATAAAGGATTATCCTGAAGATAACAGAGCTTGAAATTGACTTGATGGATTTCTCTCCTCTATGCATCTACAACTGGGAAACACAAACAAATGGAAATGGTAGCAATCCAGATTTTTTTTTACAGGACAACTAAGAAGAGTTCACTAAGTGAGCCCATTGAAAAACACCCCAGTTCAAATGGAATTAAACCCTAACCCTTCAACAATTCAATTCACATCCAATACATCCATACCAATTCTCTGCTCAGAGCAGCCCAAAATGTACTATCAACCTTTTCTATACACCCACAACCTCAAAACACCAAAAAAAAGTTTAATAAATCAAGTACACCACCACAATGGCAACGAAAAGGGATCATGATACTAATTTACACAAAAGCCAATTTTCAAATCAATGAATACTACTACGATCAGCTAAACCAAGCAATGGTGTATTCCTAATTAGATTGTACCCAAAATTCATCGGTGGATATGGGAAGCCCATAATTTTCCACATTTGCAGCTGTAGCTTCTCAAAGTGTATTTCCAACAATTCTTTGAGATGTTTTTCCATCCCATTGCTTCCTATACTTAACCAAGTAATCTGCATAAGCTTGGCCTCTGCACCAACGAAAACTAAAATTTAAAAAAATAAAACTTAATACAAAGAGACACACAAAGAGAGTGATGCTTTGCCATCACTGCCTTGATTGATTTTTCGTCTTTTGGGTTGTATTTGATGGGAACGGCTATATGAGAGAAATAATCAAAGAAATGAATTGACCAATTTGATGGCCAACAATGCAGCACATTTTCTCATACCACCAGCAGTTTGTCTTCTATAAAAACACAACAATTATCACACCATCAATCTTCATAACAAACTCTTTCACTAACCCAAAATATAAAAATCCCAACCCCTTAGTTGTCCCTTTACCTGACAATTAAACTATTACATAACCATAGCTATGGGCCCAAAATTTTGTTTCCCCTATTTCATCAGCAATCAAATCGAGCATACAAATGGAAGAAACTTATCTATCAAATTGGCTGGTATTCATGGAAAAAGTACAATCCTAACTTCTAACGCTTAATCATCAACTGAGATAATACTAATACAACTCAAGTTACTCCAATTGATTCACTTCAACATGATATAGACCAGTGTTAAGCAGTAATGTGATATATGCAGATATTAGCATCCTGCTTGTAATACACCAGAATGACATAATCCACAATAGATACCATATAACCTAAGAAAAGAGAACTAACATCCCAACACTTCAAAAGTGTTTTAAAAATTTCACTTGATCAAAGTTAAAATTATCTGAGTAGCTAGATCCATGAAAATAAAACAACTGTAGGGATACCATAACAAATGTTCATATTAATGCAACAGACTAAGTAGGAAGGAAAACCAAACAATAAAATAAAATAATCTATCAACTTGGATAAATCTATTAACATGGGTAAAATAGAAACTTTTACCCTCTAAAATGTAATTTTTGATTTCAACTTGGATAAATCTATGATACGAAGGCATTAACAAATTTAGTTTTTTGACCAACTTGATATAAATAAGTGATCAATTATTTTATTGATTGTAAGTTTAATGAATATATGAATGCATGAAAAATAAAAGAATTGGTTAAGATCCCACACTTCGTAGTGATACTACATTCCAAATAATTGAAGTAATCATTTGGCACTAATGCAAAAATTCAAAAATCTAGAATATGAAATTTTGTCGCAACCAATATCGATAAAATCCTTGCATTGAAAGCCTTTAACTAAACTTAAAATTAAAAAAAAAAAGAAAGGATAAAAAAAAGGATTTAGACATAGTGTTGGCAAAAATCAGATCATTATACAAATCGTTGACATTATTCATTCCATTAAGCACTAACTAAGTCAAGTACAAAAAATGGCATTATTCATTCTGCTAAACACTCCCAAAAAATCGTATAGAAAAGAATCATCAAACAACTCAAACTAAAAATAAATAAATAATTAGCAAAACAAAAAAATGATCAAATTTCAAAGTAATAGCCTAAATAAAAAGGAATTGCCCAATTGATTGACTTGAAATTTGTGGATTGAACTGACAAAGTAACTTGCAACTATATCACCAATATATCAATGCGGCACTAAAAAAGTATAGAAGAAAAAAATCAATGCAGCAATAAAAAGTATAGAAGAAAAATTAGAAACCGCAAATAACAAATTCAATAGTACCAAACAAAGTGATTGCATTGAACTCAAAGTGTAACACCCCATTCCATTCCATTTTTATAATATTCAGAGTGCTAATAGCCTTCATAGGTACTAAATGATACAGTCTCCAAATAAGGAGTAAGCTCTGCTCTGATACTAATTGTAAAACCTTGATCCAATTCCATAAACATAATGAGTGTTTGCAATTAATCTCAATAAATAAACATACTATACACAACAATGATACGACTCAGTCATAGACTTGTTACAATCCACACATGTACATTAAGCTTATTATAATTTACATGCCTCAAAAACACTATTCAGCACTTGGAATGAAAACCATGAAAAACCAATAGTTCGAATATTTAATGTAATAGTTCAGTAGAGTACATCAATGTCACATAAATGAGTTTGAAAATATGTAATTTGACATGATTGGGCATCAAAATAGTTCATTTTATATATAAGTGATAGAGCAGTAAATGTTGAGCGAAAGTAGTTAAGTTGAAAACATACAATCACAACATCAATACAATGCCTACACTGAAGAGCAAGTAATCCTAATAAACCATTCAGAGTCGATACGAACCACACAAACCAATCATTTAGGGGACTTGCACCCCAAGGAAGATACACTCCCTAATTCAATATAATCCAATTCGGTATCCAAGTTCAAAGACCAACAGGGCAACCCAAACATTTACGAACTCAACTTGGAGCGTAAACCCTCTGTCACTCAATCCTGTGTGCACTTACATTTAATTCAAAAGGATCTCGGAGTTTTATTTCAATACTAACAATATGAGCAATACAATCATTTGCTCAAACAACACTCAAAACCCCAATCCGGGTCCAGATCCTAATTCAATAATGAAACAACCAATCATATATTTCAAAACATGTTATACGATCATAAATAACGTATGAAATAATTTAAAAATAAATTTAAAAAGCATCGCCTATTTCGAAATTGAGAAACCTTACCTCATGCAGTATATCGATTTGAAACTGCCAAAAATAAAAACGATGTAATTTTTCAATAAAATTTCATACACAGACTCTAAATAACTATTTAAGAGTGAATATAATTTTTTTTTAACCAAAATCACCAAAAAAATTGAGTTACAGTGACCCTGAAGGGATAAACAGAAATTTTACATCATATATTGATTCGGGTATTGTATTGACTTGAAATTTTACCAGGACCTCCATATGGATGTTACGAAACTGTTGGGATCCATTAGAGGTCAATCAAACACCGAAAGTGCCCTCACTCGCCATCGGGATGACCAGTGGTCCCTCCCCTCCACTTCACCGTCTTCATTTTAACAGTTAACCCAAACTCGAGGATCCCAAATTATGTTTCAACCACCCCTGTTTCACATCTTATTTCTCCTTCCTGTGTACTATGTTTTCTCTTGTTTTTTGAACCTAGCCACTTGATTTGATCTGAATATATGTTAAAAGTTTAAAGTTAACTTTTGGTAATTATTGTATCTAAAACTTTGTAGAACATGTTTGCACTTTGTATCCTTCTACCAACATCTAGAACCTTCACCTTCTTACCACTAAGTTAGAATTCTTGAACCTTCCAAACCTCCACCTACCTTGAGCTTTCTAGACCCTTCTCTAGTTACCTATAAATAGACCTCCCACCACCCCAAATCACTAAGTCAACAAAAAACAAATCACCAACAACAATTAACCATTGC